AATCCCGTGCGAATAGGGCTTGAGACTTTTCGTTGTGGATTATCCTTTGTCTTCTGCACCTTCCTTAGAGAGACCGTAACACAAACACTTAAGCAGGAGAAATTTGGTTGAATTGACACGGAATGACCCTATTTAAACTAAATGTACAAAAAGGGTAGATGCTTTTTGCAAGAGTATAAACAAATACAGTATAGCATCTTTCAAATAAACTGTGTAAATAAATAGAGATAGATGTTTTTCACACAAAATATCAATGGAATATTCTATTCATATTGCAGCTAAATAGCCTATATCTGAGCAATGGTGGGCAGAATTAGTAATAATAGCCAATGACAAGAAGGTTAGACAGAGCTATGATAAAATCTTGATCATGAAGATTTGAGTTTTTGTCCACTGTTTTTCCTTTTTGTTGTTTCTTGTTAAATGAAGATTGGTGTTGTGGGCTATGTTTTGCTAAAATATAGACGCTTTTATTCAAAGTGACTTTTTACAAGTGAGCTTTTCTTTTTACAACACAATATGCATTACAATCTTGTCAAAATTTGTGTAGCCTAATGTTTTGTTATTTTGTTATTTTATTTTTATTCATTTTAGTGTAACAATTATTTAGACACGGAGCAAAAACAATGTACATAACTACTATTAAATGTAAGACATATAGACATATATGTTTTTAAACATATAGACATTTCGTGGCATTATTTTACTCAAAATTCTGTCAGATATTTAATGGAACCTTGGAGGTACATTTTACTAGTTTTTCTTGATTGTTTTTGCCAGGAATGTCTGAAATAAGGTCTAAATCACATCAGCTTTGCAGTGTAATTCATAATTTGCATGATTTATCATTGATTTCATGCTGCTCTTGATTCAATGCATCAGACCCCTCGGCATATGGAAAGCTGTCATCTCTCACGACTCTAGGTCCACAGACACATGTCAGTACCCTTTACTTAGATCGATGGTATTGATAAGCTTAGCATTACCAAGTTTTTCCATTAAATCCTCACAAGGCATAAGATATAAATCAAATGCTTTTTATGCTTTTTTGGCACGAATACCACTGGATTATACCATTCTCTCCTGTCCTACTTCCTATCAGTGGACCTACAGTGCCCATTCCCAGCCACTGAATGGGAACGGTTGGCTATTTGCACTTAGTATAGAGACTTCCTTATTTTTTGCTATGTTTTTCGACTCACCAAATTGCTCCAGTACTACAGTTGCATTGGCTGAAAGATCTCCAGCAAACACTAAACACATGTAAACTCCTTTATCCTCAGTTCTGACACTCTTCAGTCTGAGAGAGAAGTTTCCTTTGGGGATTTCAGCAGTGAAGAACTCAACTCTGTCTCTGTATTGTTCATCTGATGAATCTGGTAAAGTCTCATTCTTTTGGAAGAGCAGAACCAGAATATCTCCATCTGTCCTTAGCCATGAAACCTCAATGTGTTCAGGTTTGATGTGAGAGTCTACAGAGCAGCTCAGAGTGACGCCCTCACCCACAGACGCAGTTACAGACTCACCTGATCCTGATACTAGCAAACGCTCTGAAAGAATAAAATAGAATAAAACTGAAATAGGAGCTTAAAATATTTTCATGATTAACAAAATTAGGTTTTTACTCACCAGCATCTTTTATTTGAACCACAGTTTCACCAGAATCCTGCTGACTGTAAACTGTACATGTGTATCGTCCCTCATCTTCAGCTCTCAGATTGTCCAGACGGAGGGAGAAGTTTCCCTGTTGAATCTGATCAGTAAAGAAATGAGCTCTATCATGATATTCCTGCTGCTGGGCCTCTGGTCGACTCTCACCATCTTGATACAGATGAACCAGAGTCTCTGAGTCTGTTCTTCTCCATTCCACCTCCAGATCCTCCATTAGTAAGAGTTCATCAACATAACAGAGCAAAACCACTGAAGATCCCAGAGGAGCAACCAGAGGGCCAGCGGGACCGTGCACAATGAAGCCTATGAATACACAATCTGATTAATGTATAAAATGAGGAAGAAAAACGCAAATGCTACTTTCAAGTACATTGATAATAGGCTACGTACCATCAGCGAATAGCAGAAGTGCAGACATAAAAATACACCCAGTTGACATTATGTATAAAAATTTGATTTGATTTGACTTTTTATCAGCAGGTTTTCATACGAGAATAGAAGATTCACGTCTGAAGACGTCCTTGTAGTTTCGCTTTTTTAATCAGAAATTGCCACAACAAAATCTTCTGCCGGCCCAACATCGCACTGTTGGCTAAACACACATAAAATCAATTGCACAAACATACAAACTTTGACTTACAATGCGTCTTTCATGTAGCCTATTAGCATTTCATAAGTGATTGCCACGCAGACGCGCTGTATCACACGAACAGGTTCGGATCATTTTAATCTCATTGTTTGTTTCTTTCATGGTATAGAATAGACAACCAAATAAACACAGAAGAAGCCATAATAAAATACTAGCTTTAAAATCTATTTATCAATGAAATACTGCCTATCTACCATACGTAATAATATATTCATGCAAAAAGGGATTGGAATGGCCTTTTCAAACACCTGGTGTATTAATTGCACATAATATTAGACACTCAAAATACTATAGAATAACTATGATCAAAGTTTGCAGTGCAGTTACGCACACTAATGTCAGTATATATTTTATGCTTGCACTGAATCCAACTTGCTCACATCAAGATGAGGAGACGGGATAGGCCTATATCAGAATCCACAGAAGAAACAAGCTGGGCAAATGTCAAATTCGATAGTTTCGTCACACCGAGAAATGGTATGGTGGCACTCCTACTTCTCCTGCTGTTTCCTGTTTGCATGATTGTTTTCTGTCTGTTTCTCTCATAAAAGTATGCACGTTTCAAATAAAAAGTCATTTAAACTGGCCCACTAAAGTGCAGCCACCATATCTCAGATATCGACGTATTTTTTCTTAACCACTAGATGGCACAAACCTATCCAATGAGTTATATACTTAAAGGGGTCCTATTATGCTCTTTTACAAAGTCTTGATTTTGTTTTGGGGGTGTACTAGAACAGGCTCTCATACTAGGTTGTTCGAAAACACATTATTTTTCACATATTTTACATTATTACAACACCTCTCTCCCCAGTCTGGCATGAACAGTAGGGATGGGCGTATCGATCCGAAGTATCGACAAAACAAAAAATATCGATACTAAGGTGCGTTTTATTTACCAGTGGTTTTGTTTATTTAACAAAAATAATAATAATACTGCGTACAATATGCATTGAATTGGACGAATAACCTTTGTTAGCCAGTAATTGTGTAGGATAGAACTATTTTCCTGCTCATCTGAACACACGCAAATGTTGCAAGACAGAACCAATCAATCACAGAGAGCATTCACTCACTGCTGACAGTGCATTCAAACAGGGCTACGTTTCCCAAAATTATCATAAGAAAGCATTAAAAAAAAAATCACAACAAATAAAAAAAAAGCAAAAAAAACAAAAAAAAAAAAAAAAGAAAAAAAAAAGCGTTTTCAGTTTTTGAACATTTTGAGTCCACCTCCCTTGCCTCACAGTGTTCCGGTGGGAGAGAGCACAGTTCTTCAGTAGTTACAGTTCAGGTCAAAATTTTACATACACTCTGCAGTATCTGCAAAATGTTAGGCCTAAATATTTCACCAAGATAGGAGGGATCATACCACATGCATGTTGTTTTTTATTTAGTATTGACCTGAATAAGATATTTCACATAAAAGACGTTTACATATAGTCCACAAGAGAAAATAGTAGTTGAATTTATAAAAATGACCCCGTTCAAAAGTTTACATACGCTTGATTCTTAATACTGTGTTGTTACCTGGATGATCCACAGCTGGTTTTTTTTTTTGTGATAATTTTCACACTTTTCAGGTATTTATTTGTAAAATAATTTGGACACCGTTTATCATTTTCCTTCCAATTCACAATTATGTGTCACTTTGTGATAGTCCATCACATAAAATCCCAATAAAATACATTTTTGTTTGTGGTTGTAATGTGACAAAATGTGGAAAAGTTCAGTGGGTATGAATAATTTTGCAAGGCACTGCTGTGCATAAGAGCTGTACCTCTGTTTATGAAAAAAAACAAAACTTTTTATTTATAAGAATTATTAGAAGAAACCTAATACTGCCACAAAAATACAGCATGTTTTACTTTTGAAATGATTTGGCAACCAATACAAAACTATTCAAGTTATTTGTAACAGAATATCACCAGACCGTCAGCTTTACAATTTAGTTTTCAGTCTCAGTTTGTTGGGGGTTTTTTTACTCCAGAGGAACTCCTCTTTTGCAGACAGATAGAGCAGTCAGAGTACAGGATAAATATAGATGAGTCGGTTTCTCATATCTGTGTCTGTGAAACATCAGGATCAGTCGGATTCTCCATTTCATGATTCTGTGTTCTTTGTTAAAAACAAGACATTGCTATTTGGCAACTACACATCTCTACTACACGCAAAGATCAAACCTTATATTGATGATCAGCTGACACATCATATGCAATTATTACATTACCCTGACATTTATTAAAAATCTGAACTTACCCAGATGTAACAATCCTCCCTATGTGACAGGAGAGATAAGAGAGACTAAGTTGTTTAAAAATGTTAATAACTGATTTAGCAAAATTAGAATTACTGAATAAAAGGCCAAACTTAAATAACGCTGGCTCCCCCTACTGGACACTTTTAATTTGATGCATTTATATGTTTTACCAGAGTTTAACCTCCTTCATTTCAATCACTGAATCTGTTGCAAATCAGCATTATAGATATTTGCAAATATATCAGTGACTCAACAGCTCATTTCAGGCAAATACAATACTGGGCTAATACTAATATATCATTATTCAATTTATAT